GAGGGAAACTTCAAGGACCCTCTTATATAAGTTCAAGGAAGATGTTGAGAACACTAAACCTAACTTATGAGATTTTTTAATTTTATAATTCCTCTTCACTTTAATATGATCATTTGTTTGCTTCAAAATTGGTTTAGATTTGATGAACCTTTAATTAATTTTATATCTAATGACTTGAGGTTAAAATTATTGATGGCATTTCATTCTAAAATTTAAAGTGCTAATGTTTTGCAAATCATGACTTTCGATCTCAAATGTATTTGTTTGCTAACTTAATAGTTGATAAGTTCTATAAGAATTTATTAGGCTCAGCCCAACTTGAACTTAACTTAATTCAAACTCTTAGGTTCAACCCAACTTGAACCTAACTCAACTCAAACCCTTAAGTTCAACCCAACTTTGACTTAAGTCAACACAAACTCTTAGGTTCAACCCAACTAGAACTTAATTCAACTCAAACCCTTAAGTTCAACCCAACTTGGACTTAAGTCAACATAAACCCTTAAGTTCAACCCAGCTTGGGCTTAACTCAACATAAACCCTTAGGTTCAACTCGAGTTAGCCTAAATCTTAGGTTCAACCTACCTAAGTTAACTTAGACTTTAAGTTCAGCCTACATTGAACTTAAATTGACCCAAATCTTAGGTTCAACCTACACTAAACCTAAAATCAACTTTAAGTCCTATCTACATTGGATTTAAACCATTTTAAATGTATAGGTTCTACATACATTGAACCTAAAACACCTTACGTCCTACCTACATTGGACTTAAACCATTTTAATCCTTAGGTTCTACTTACATTGAACCTAAAACATCTTAAGTCTTACCTACATTAGACTTAAACCATTTTAGTCCTTAGGTTCTACGTACATTTAACCTAAAACAACTTAAGTCCTACCTACATTGGACTTAAACCATTTTAATCCTTAGGTTCTGCCTACATTGAACCTAAAACACCTTAAGCCCTACCTACATTTGACTTAAATCCTTAGGTTCTACCTACATTGAACCCAAAACATTTTAAGTCCTACCTATATAAGACTGAAACCATTTTAATCTTTAGGTTCTATTTACATTGAACCTAAAACACCATAAGTCCTACCTAGATTGGACTTAAATCATTTTAATCCTTTGATTCTCCTCTTAGGTTTTACTTACAATGAACCGAAAACGCCTTAAGTACAACCTACATTGGACTTAAATCCTTAGGTTCCACCTACATTGAACCTAATACACTTTAATTCCTACCTACATTGGAATTAAACCATTTTAATCCTTAGGTTCTATTTACATTGAACCTAAAATATCGTAAGTCCTACCTACATTAGACTTAAACCATTTTAATCCTTAGGTTCTTGTTACATTGAACCTAAAACATATTAATTCCTACCAACCTTGGACTCAAACTATTTTAATCAATAGGTTCTACTTACATTGAACTTAAAACATCTGAATCCTACTAATATAGGACTTAAAATATTTTAAAATTTTAGGTTCTACCCGCATGAAACCTGAATTATTCTATGTCCTACTTACATTGGACTTAAAATCATCTTCATACCTTAAGTTCTATCCAAATTGAATGACATTAATCTTCACCGACATTAAGCCTAAATCTTAAATATTAATTAAACTCCTTCAGGTCTAATCGACATCAGACCTAAACAAATGACACCACAACAATCCAACTCACCGACATAAATGACATAAAATTCACATTAAAAGATGTTAAAACTTAAAACTTGAACCTAAGAATGCAACTAGGATTGAGAAGATATTTTAGAGGAGGTAACCCATGATTGTTAACAAAATATCTTATAACCACTTATGGTTAATCAAACCTCAAACATAATGACCCGGGACGATAGAATTATGGGATCCTAATTGGGTCATCCAAAAATAAAAAATAAAAAATAAAAATGACAAAAAAGTTAATTGACTAATAAATGGTAAACATCCTAAAATTTTATAGCTCCTTAAAGCCAAATAAGACATTAAAAATTAATTTGAACCCTAAAGAACATAAGTCCCCGAACGCAACTTGAACATTTGTGTTCAGATTTACAAAGCTTTCTTGGACGACGTAATTTGTGGTTGCCGACAAGAATCTTCCAGTCCTGGTTTAAACACCTTTCAGACTAAGTAAATCTAAATATTTTTATGGCCCCGAGACGACGAAGCCTTAGATATCTTGACCTGGTTGTTTAAAAATTATTCAACCAACTAAATAGCCAACTAAATATGATAATTCTGAAAACATAACTTTATGCTAATCATATTCTGTTTTCCAGCTTTATTAGAGACAGAAAAAATAAAAATTTTGCTTTAGATTTCTTTTGCATGTTATAGGTGTGCTAACTTTGTTTTGCAGGACGACAATCAGAAGTAGAATCTCAAGACAACAAAACCAAAATAAAATCTTAAACAACCAAACAACAACAAAAAAACTAAATAACAAAACAAAACAAAACGATATGACGTGACAAAAACAAACAAAATAAAATGACATGACATGACAAAAATAAAAAAAAAACTAAAACAAAACCTCTAGGGTAGAATCAAATTCTTAAAAATCTAATACCCTAGGAATAAAACATTTGATGTTTTTTTCTTTAACCTTGACATTTCTTAGGAGAACGAGTGTTAAAAAGTATGAGAACTTTTCTTAGATAGTTTTAACTGTCTAAGATGTAAGTAACTATAGGAGTTTGCTCCTATAGAAGAATAAGAACTCAGAATAGGTGATACACCTAAAATCTCTGGTTATTTATTTTTTCATGTGGTTTTCCTTATATGAGAAAGCATTTCTCTAAAATGTTCATCACAATGAAAAATCCTTTCGATATTTCTTTTTCTCATATTTTCTATTTTTAGTCCTTTCTTTCCTTCTCCTAGTTTCTTAAAATCTTGGAATCATTGACATGATTCAAGAGAATGAGTTAACTGGAGATTAGGGCAATAAAAATAGATAAACAGAGTGACGACTCCTTTCAATCAAAAGACACATCCGACGATGGGAATTGGTGGCGGACCAGGTGGGCCCTATCCATCCATCCATCACCCTCCGGGCGCCATCATAAATATTAGGAGAAAAAATAATTTTAATGAGTTAAAAGAAACACCATAAAAAAATACTTACATATCCTTCACCATCCTGTTGAATATTAATAATTATCAATATCATTTTTTTTATTAATATGGAATAACTAGATAAAATTAAAACTTCACGAGGGAAACTTCAAGGACCCTCTTATATAAGTTTAAGGAAGATGTTGAGAACACTAAACCTAACTTATGAGATTTTTTAATTTTATAATTCCTCTTCACTTTAATATGATCATTTGTTTGCTTCAAAATTGGTTTAGATTTGATGAACCTTTAATTAATTTTATATCTAATGACTTGAGGTTAAAATTATTGATGGCATTTCATTCTAAAATTTATAGTGCTAATGTGTTGCAAATCATGACTTTTGATCTCAAATGTATTTGTTTGCTAACTTAATAGCTCATAAGTTCTATAAGAATTTATTTGAATTTCAATGGATGCCTTCTTTACCAAATTCTCTTACCTTGAATTAAAAGGTTTTTTGAACTCATATAGATTTAACATTATCTTAACCTTCCTTTTCCATTAAAAAAATGTTATAATTTCTACATGAATAAAGAACAAACTTAAGCATAAAGCTATTATATTAACAATTATTGAATTATAGGTACTTTTAGTTCTTTAACCTTATAGAATAGTAGTTATCCATATATTTTTTGTATCTTGAATTATTTTTGTTAGGCTTATGATATTTACATAATCAAATGCCTTAGCTTTTTACAAGCTCCAGGTAGATCACTATCTTGAATTATAACCTCCAATGAAAAATAAGGAATTGATTGATCTTTTAACATTCACAATTATATAGAAATTTGCTTCTAAAGTTTTTTCTTAGAGTAATATAGAGCCTTATTGGAAATCAATGTTGGATGGATATGGATCTCATTCTAGAAAAAAATAAAATATTAATATATTAGAAGCTCAAGTGAGAATTAAATTTAAATTTTAGTCTAACATCCAATTTTAGACAAAATTGATCTTTATCACCTTATATATATAAGATCTCTGAAATCTTTATGAAAAATATTTTCTTATATTATCAATCATATACTTTATTTCTCAATAACTGTTCAACTAACTTAGCTTTCTTTTTCCCACTGCTGCATATAATATAAGAATAAATACGATTTAACTTGAAGTTATAATTGAGCAACATCATCATTAGAATATGTATTTAAATAAGATTTGAACCATAATTGATTATAAATAGAGACTATTTTAATTGATTCTCCCACGATTATAAATAGAAACTATTTTATGAATGAAAAGACGGCTCTTTCCCCCTAAAAATTGTTCATCTTATGCTCTATTATTCTCTATATTTATCTCGTCTCTTCTTCCTTGCGCTATATCCACTCGGGGTGTGTTCAAGAGAACAAACCGGGATTCAACAACATTCATCAACTTCAAAATTTTAAGCATGCCAATTTTTAACTCAATAATAAATGGGCCATAATATGGAGTAAAAATAAAATAAAATATTCAAGAACTACAACAAACTAGAGGTATCAACAAGTGCAGTGCTCAATTTGATTATATTCTGATTCTGCTGGTTACACCCTCGACACTTTGGTGAAATTTTGTTAAACTCTTACATCGTCTCCAAACGAAACCAATGCACCGTGACCAGATTCTATTTCAATTTCAAAAGCCCACATGAAACCACAAAAAGCAAGACGAATAATCTGCCATAAATGACTTTGGATTGAGATTGAAGACAAAATAATTGGATAAACTTGAGCAAAATATTGACTCAGGCATCGTATCAAGAAACAATGAAACCATCCACCGAAGTTTATTAACACATGTTTATTTTCCAAATCATAGTCAATTCTCCTCTTCCTTGGAGAAATGGCAACTCAAATACAAGTAGATCCACAGTAAGATTACTGTAAATAAAAAGTAAGAAAATATTTATTTTAAAAAAAAATAAGATAAGTATATAGAATGCAGCATGTCAAAAAATGATCTATAAGATTTATTAGAGGGGATTACAGCACGGACAAGACAAGACCAGTTAAGTTCTGGACAGGCACAAGGGCTGTGCAACCAATCAACCAAGTTGTGCTATGACTGCATCAACCACTTCTTGGGTGTTGCTGCTCCCTCCGAGGTCTTTGGTCATGTAATTACCTTGCGCAATCACTCCCTTAACAGCAGTCTCAAGGCGGTCAGCAAATGATGGGAACTGGAGATGTCTCAACATCATAGCAGATGAGAGGAGGAGAGCAACGGGATTCGCCTTCTTTTGTTCCACTTGTTTCTCATTACCTACATTGCCTGCGGAAGCACCTTGCTCAAAAACTGCGTGATCTTGTCCGACATTGCCTAAAACCAGCATGTTCATCAGTATGATCAATAAACAATTAGTATGGTATATTATATCCAACAAAGATTAAAGAGCATATTCGATAGAATTGATGAGTAGTAATTTAAGATGAACCAGGAATGGGGGAGAATGTGCAAGCAAAACATAAATCATAGTTGAACATAAATTCATGGCAGACATGACAGATGATATAAAACCACATTTAATGAAACTTTGCCATTCCACCCCCCTTCAGCTCCCACCAGGAATTATGGTCGAAACCCAAATGTTCATTATTGAACGTGAAATGATGATTATCATCTTATCATTTTGGCCATCATTTATCACAGAAACATTAGCTCAAATCTTGTAAGGAGCGAAATTGAGCTCATTTCCTTGCCATTATATGGCTTTATTTGAAATATAGCATGAGTGAACTAATATATTAAAAGAAGACATTCAATAGGAAGAGTAGCAGCGCTATAAATCAAATATGTATCATCATTAATAGTCCCAACACAAAACGAGCACACAAATATGGCAAATAGATAAATAGGATTAGCAATCTGCTTATACTCAGAAGTAGGCACGTCGCAATGCACAAGGGACACAAACCAGTTCACTGGAAATGCTTTTAAATAATGCAAAGAGTGAGGTGAGACTCCAATCCATCATCAATCTATTCAATAAATATGGGAAGGACGGAAGAGTACAGATACTGAAGAAAGAAGAAAGTATCTTCTGCAAGGACAAGATTTTTTTATGAACAACAAAGACAATATAGCAAGAAAATCCTTAAATGTGCGCTAGCAGCAGTCATAATGTGAGGTTAAAGTAAACCTTATGTATCCAATATGATTCTTTACCAAAATCTTACCTTATCTATCTATAAAAGTTCAGAGTAACTGAGCATGCTAAAAGTTCTTAAACTAAAAAGCACTGATCTGAAAAATTATGATCAAACAACTATATGGCAACACTATTCATTAACTGTAGTACAATGAGAATTTAAAATAAGAAAGATAATATGCTTAAATAATATAATATCCAATGTGAAAAATAATTACTTGTAAAGCGCCATGCTAATAATAACAAACAGAAATACATATGAACCAAACATCTTTGATAGGTTTAAGAAAAAAAATATATATGCCCGTTGGGTTTTAAAAGAGCTATCATGGATTGTAAGGAAATAGTCTATTAATTTAATGCCACTCATCAATTCAGTAAAAATCAGAAACAATAGAAAAAATGCAGAATCATAGGCAGATGAGCCACTTGGTAACACAACATCCACATTTATGCCATAAGCAGACAATTATGAGATATCACAGCTGGAAGGCGAGCAAAAAGAAACCCGGGCACAGCCAAACAAATTTTTTATAGACAAATCTGTCACAATTTAGATGTTGTAAGGCTATTTTTCAATTACAATTTTTCTTCAAAAAGCATTTAAAAAAGAGGAAGCGGAGTAGTAGAAGGACTTTAACTGAGCAGATACCTCCAGGCATGACACCAGTTCCACCAGCAATACCTGCAGCAGTGTTTGCCACAAGATTCCCGTACAGATTTGGAGTGACCTGCAAATAAAATAGTAATCAGAAAATTACATCAATTGTTAATGAATCGTAAGTAGGTAATAAATAGACGATGAAACTTTTCAACATGCACAACCAGGAGTTTAAGGTGACTCAATCCCAATAAACTCAACTGTAAAAATGAACTTTAAAGTAGAAAAATAGATGTAGATTCACTCTAATACAATGGTAATCATATAATGTCATTGCCCCATCTCAGTCCATTCGTCCAATACACACTGTTGGTGCTGAGAACATATCCCCTTTTTTTTTTTTTTTTCAAAAACACTTTGATTTTGGTGGAATCATATCCCATCAAACAAAAATGGAAAAGATCAAAGCATTTATTTCAACGGTGCAAAATGGCACGCATCATGATGCATTGCAATGCAAGCATCAAAATAGTGTTGTGCCATACATGGCCAATGGCGCATAGCCCCATGTCACGTGCTAAGTTGATTTTCTAGATTTAATATGAAAAAAAATAATAAAAAATAATAATAATAACAGAAAATTCAATTCTTATATATTTGCATTCAAATTTGACCACACACACACATATGGGATAAAAATTTGACCACACACACACGTATGGGATAAAAATTTGACCACACACACACACACACACACAACACACACACACACACACCAAAAAATTTGACCACACACACACGTATGGGATAAAAATTTGACCACACACACACACACACACACACACACACACACACATTATGTACACATATGGGATAAAAATTTGACCACATTCTATCTCATCCATTATATTGAGCTCAATTCTCTTAAAGAGGATGATATGTTTTACGATGTTATAATGATGTTGACGAAAAAAAAAATTGATTTGTTTAACTTATGATGATGATGATACTTTGGATGACGATTACTTATGAAAATATTAGAATCTTATAGATGATTAATTTAATTACTTGTGGAACGCATCATAATATTTTGAATATTATGTAATTGAGACATTGAGCACTTGAATTTAAATATTATTGATCTGAAACTCAATAGAAAAATTACAATCAAATATACTGAAACCTGAAAATCCAACAAAGGACATCACAAACTCAACTAGGGGTAGCTCCCAGAGGGGTGGTGGTCAGTTGAGTGAGTTGAAAGGGTTGGCAGGTGATTGGTGGGGGGGTGTTGGCTGCTAAAGAGAGTTGGTAGCAGCAGTAGAGAGGCTTTTGGGGCGACTGGGAGGGGTGGAAGCTGGTAGGGACGGCTGGGACATAAGGGTAACAGCAACAGCTGGTGGTAGGGATGACGGAGAATGCTGGGACAGGTAAGGACAGCAACTACTCGCTGCCCTAGATGGTGGCAGCAGGCAGGGAAAGCTAGGACGACCATGACAACAAGTATGCGTGATTGGAACAGCGATAGCGACATAATGGAGGGCTGGAACAGCAGCGGCAGCAAAGGTGGAAGGCTGGAACAGCAGTGGCCGAGAAGATGGCAGCCAGAACAGTGGGAAATCTACAGGAAAACAGCAACGGACGGCTGTTCTGGGAGGCTGCAACAATGGAGGGCGGCCGGGAGCGACATAAAGAGGATGCGGAAGGGGATAGAAAAGATAATCACCACCTAAGACCAATATATAGACAACGCACCACATGAAATCCTAAAATACAACCCTCAAAGGAAAGAAGAGACGTCGGCGACGATCTAGATACAAAACACACAAAAGCTGACCTAAAGCACGATAAGAACAACATATATAATACTAAGGTAACTAAGGAGTGGATTGACGCAGATGTACCAATAGCAGCATGGGAGCGCCAATAACGTCGTAAACGCGGCGCAGAGAGAACCGTAGGTTTCTCTTCTGATGTCCTTCATCTGGACCAAACTGGTCAAGACCCTGAAAGGTCGATCGGCTCTGCCATGAGGGATTGGCGCCTCCTTTCCACAGGGGGATACAATCTTGGTTATCTAAGGCTTATATATATATATATATATATATGATTCTGGTGTTTTAGGTTTTTTAGATTTTTAGTATTTTCTATCAGAACAACTGTCAGTGTCTAGGTTTTCCCTTCTAGGATTGTATCTGACGATGAGTGGTGATCCGGTTGTATCTTGTCCAAGTTGGTAATAATCCTCGACTATTACACTCCTCTGCAACCTTTCCTCTACCAACATCGTATTCACTTCCGGCTGTCGCCTACCACCTAGCTCCCTCCCACCTTGCCTCCATCCCTCACTGTGACTTCCAGCACCCAAACAACCCCTATCCTGCCACCTATTTGTTGTTCCATCCTTTGTTTCAACCTTGCCGAACTAATTTCCTGCCACCTAATTGCCTTCCCAGCGACGTATAACCTTCCCAATCGCACCCACAGCCAACTCCCATCCTCTTTCACTGGTATACGTTTTAGTTGAGTTTGTTTGTGTCTGTTGTTGTATTTTCCTTTGATTGTAATTATATTTGCGTTTGAGTAATAATATTTAATTTTCCCATTATGATTTGGATTAACTCCAGTATCATGGACTCCACTCTCATTAGGCAGCAAATCTACGGAAGGGAAGTATCAGCCTGCCCTCAACACTTCTATTCCGAGCCGGTCCAAGCCATACGCGGCCTCTTGCATCATCCAAAGTTACAAGATGCGACTACCACATCGTCCCGTATCAATGCGAGAGATGCTCCGGCATCACCAAAGCTCAGCATTCAATCAAGCTACTAAACGGAACAGGCGTATGTTGATTTGATAGAGTTCAAAATAATTGCTCCAACAGCTGCATTCAGCAAGATACTCACATACAATTTGAGGAGGTTGGTCAATTGATATCTTGGCTATGCATTCATAGCATGGTACATTTTAAAGTCATCACAGCATCCTGACCCTAAATAAGATAGGTCAACATGCGTAACACAGCACAAGCATTTAAATTACCATATAGCTCTGCGTTAAGCAAGCACTTAGAATGACAATAAAATGCACATGTTCATCAAAGATTTGATGGCTTTTAAGGAATGTTAGTAGACTTAACTTTCATAGCAGAAGGAAGCATATGCAATGTAAGTGATTCTTGTATTCCGTAAACAATGGAGAACTGACCACAATGTTGGGAAATTTCTCCCATATTTTAGCCAACCTCTCATCATGGCTATAACCCAGCAGGTTGGGCGTTAGCTGATTGGCCTTCTTTAAAGTGTCATGACAGATTATATAGGCGCTATCTGTTGGCGTCCTAGCTTATTTTTCTTTATGATTATTCAAAAGATTTTGCTCATGCTGTACAAGAATTGGCCTTAGGCTGTAATGTTGAGGATGTAAGAGAATTTTAAGTTTGTTTGTTGACCAAGCATAGGTGTGGGCCCCACCCAATAACCCTAATTTTAAATTTAGTATTTTTTTAGCGAGTATAAGCAACCAAGTATTGCGGTGTGGTAGAGGCGAACGATTCGGTCGGACTAAATTCTTCTCAGCAATCATCATGACTTGCAGAATCAGGAGCTAGTGAGTAAAGAACAAGTTTAACTAAATTGCCACAAACATACTTAATATATTTCATTTCATAATTCATTTATATCAATATACTTGGAAGCATGAAAATCATAGCATCAAAACATATATAACTTTAGACGTTAAATCTATTATAAATAAAATACATACCCAAAAACCTGTACAAGCTTCCAAAACTATGAAATATAAAAGTTGTACTAGTCACACATTATTATTCGCCCTGGTGTTCGTTAGCCCTTCCTGAAAGTCAACAACGAGCTCAACAAAATAATCAACGTTAAAATAAGATTTTACAGACGGAAAAAAAAACATGCATGCTTACATGCAATCTGTGTACATTACCACAACACAACACAAAAAGTCATAAACGTATAAAACATTAAAAAAATTGACATGTAATGCAGGAAATCATTGTGGTTCTATAAAATATGTATTTCATTAATTTATGTGTAATCATAAGCATATTCATAAGATATCAGCATAATCATAGGAAAGTCACTTGTAATTATATAGGTATCAATCATGTTATATGTCGACCTAGCCTGAAGGCCATATTAACTATTGATAAACTTTGGTCCCCCCAACATAGTAGTTATCAATAGCCCCTTCTAGAACCAACGATTTCATACATTTTGTCGTCGTCTGATCCCAACGATTCATAGAGTTTCATCACTGTCTGAATACCAAGAGTCGAGAATTTCATAATTTTGTATCATTCATACTTGCAAGTAATCATATAATAGTCTACCTATAATATCGTATGTGATATTTCTTAAAACATAATTCCTATAAAAGCATTCATCATAAGCATTTCATAATCATATGCATTAATAAAAAAATAGTAAATGAATACTTATAAGCAATGATTTCATAAGCATATTCATCATATTTGTAACATAGTAATATCATAGATATCGAAAGTGACAACAAGTTTGTATTCATATAATTTATGCAGGTATTCATCCAGAATATACAAAAAAATTTTACATGCAATAGCGTTAAATATATAATCACATGGACCTAGAGAGAATTAATTTTCTTAAGTTAGCACGTGATTATTCACCTGAATTGACCGAGTAGCCCTACAAGTTTTCCCATGCTAAACTCAAGTTCTCCATCTAGTGCAGACAACCTGTGATTTGTAAATATCTTAGGATTGCATAAAATCTTGGCTTATCTCGTGATTAACCAAAATCATAGCTTATTTATGAATTCTTACCTCAAAAAGGCTTCTCCGCATACCCATCCATTCTTTGAGACTACGTATTCTTCTTCTCTCTTCGTTCTATCACCTTAATCCTTTCTATTCTTCGTTGGATGGCCTTACGGAAGCCCACAAACTAATTCATAGTCTCCGACACAAGTTCTTCTCCACTACGGTTATATTAAACATAAAAATGCTCATATTCGTAGCATACATTAAAATGAAAACATAAGAAATGAAATGTCTCAAATGTCCTGAAAGAGGGGTTTGTACTCACATAATCTCTTTGGGACCCCAAATTGCCACGTGCA